AATATATTTTTATAATATTTATAATATATTTTATTTTTGTAATATTTTATATATATAATAAAAATACATCAATTATAGTATAATTATATTTAAGCAAATTTATGGGTTTCTGTAAAGTAGCCTACAGAGAATCATTTGTTAATCCCATAATTCCCAAGGCATTCGACGATATCAAAGACAAGATTAGGTTTCAAACGTATGTTGAGTACCTCTAAAAGAAAACCAGGCCCCATATTACATATCATTTTGATTTATTGTAGTTGTATCCGATATAACTTTGGTTTATCAAACATTATATTTACTAGTGGAGAAATAGAGAGCACGTTGCGTAAAGAACATCGAAATCAGACAAATGACCAAAAACCTCGGATATTACTTGGTTCAAATTATGACGGGATTCTAAAAATTTACGTGAATGCAAATGAAATAGAGATTGGATTTTTGAAGTTATAGGGAATGCAACAGTTGTGGATCTTAAAAAATATCACGAGGATAAGGAGAAATTATTTAAGGGTTTGCAACTGCCAAAGATTTGTGTTTTGAAGTCTAAGCAATGAAGTTCACAGAATCCTTTCATCTTTGTAGCGATGCAGTTGTCGATTTTTTATCAATGACAGCACCATTTACGTCGTAATGCTTCAGAAGAACAGCTTGGATGCCTTCAAAGTTTCGGTGTATTAGTGTACCGTACGTAATGTACTCATGTTGTATTTATTACAGATTCATTTATATATTATTTTTTATTATCTACTTTAGAGCGTGAGACAACAATTTACACAATGCATCGTGTTAAAGGGGGTTTGAATGTTGTTGATATCCTATCCAATTTCACGATTCCGGACAGCTATATGAAATAGTTAGAAAAGCTTATTTTTTTAAAGTAGGAGTTCGGTTAATCGATTTTTCATTGATCTAACTTTACGTTGGTATTATAGAGCCGGGTTATGGACTATTACTTAAAGATACAAGAAATAAAAAGTGATACGTACAATATTTTAATTAGCATTAATATTAATATTTTTAATTATTGCTATGAAACATACAATGTGTGTTACAAAGGATCATCACATGAGTCTTTTATTCGTAACGCTTTAGATCCATCTAAGACCCTGACAATTCAAGATCTTGTCGATTTATAGTATAAACTCGCAAATAAATTTAAATTAAATTAATACGTAATTTGTGAAAAAATATTAATTAATGGGCCAGTATACTAAAATTAGAATTAAAATTAATTGTGTAGATAAACGTTTCAAGATGCCATTATGAAACCGTACATTGTATGCTATATTAAGGAATACTATTTTTGACATGTAATTTTATGTATAATTACGTTCCTTATTGCGCTAATAAAGCTTAGAATGTACGAACAATACGGACAATAAATATAACTTACCAGTTATAGAAATTATAAGAAATCTTTGTAACATCGTGACTATAATCTCTTGCTTCATGGTAACATATAGTTATTCTAAATATAATATATTGAATCTATGATATTCTCCACTTTTAGGCAATTGAACGCGACATTACAGTATCTGTGTTTACAATTTTTCGAGGCACGAGTAACAGTTTTTATTGGTAAATCATAATCTTAGACACACCGTTTAATATACGCGCATCGCATGCGATAATAATATACTATCTACGGATCATAGCAGATAGGCCAGCTCACCTTTTCCACTTAATATTATATTGTTCGTTCCCCCAATTCATGGATTATTTCATAACTTTATTAAATCTATGGATAACTTCAAAGTTTGCAAAATTTTAGAGTAAAAAAATTATTAAAAAAATATAATTAATTTTGTTTATTCAAACAGTCAAAGTTTTTTTTTTAAATTATTATCTATGATTTAAAGTGTATCTAATGAAATAAAATACAAATTGTATTTTTTGGCTATTCTTTACGATGAAGACAATCGTAAAGAACGTACAACACCTTCCATCGCTCGTTTTCTTGCTCGTTCTTCTGAGTCCATGTTAATTACTGCCTGATCTCTTAACCATCTATATAAACACAACGTATATTAATAAATGTCATATAAAATGCATTATAATAAAAAAAATATAAATTTAATTACTTTTCAAATAAATTAACCACATCTGCTGGTCTGAGACGAGAATATTTTCTATTTCGTAAAGAAGGATCTAGATACTCCTCTGCGTTTTCTGCCTGAAGTAATGTGACAATCTATAATAATAACAATATTTATATCAATAAATCCATTAATTCATTAAATTACAAGAAATATTTTTATTATATACCTGTCTTAATTCTAAAAATGCATCAGCAATATTCGGATCATCAAGCCCACGAGCAAAATTTTCCAAAAAAGTGACATCCAAATCAAAATTAATTATAGCATTGGAATTGATTTTTTTGACATCCGGATTCAAAATTAAATCCTAAAAATTATTAACAATAAGAATTTAACTGCCCATAAAATGTGTTTGACATTAAAAATGTATATATATATATATTTATAAAATATGTACACGAATAGAAGTTGCCAAATGACTTAGGGCATCAAAATATATAAAAGTTTTGATCGAGACTGGTAAATTATACAGTGTAGAGCTAATTAGGGCGCCAAGAAATCCAACCATATCTATAATGAAATTAATTAAATTTAATTAAATTCTTTATAATTCATACACATTCAAGTTATATTAACCTTGGAGAAATGGACTTGGATATTGTTGAACTGTTTCGGGTACCCTAATAATATAATTGATTGTATATAATTCAGAAATAATTCATAACTGATAATGAACTATGAGAAAAAAATTTTATGTACCAATCATAAACCGCTATTTCCAAAAAGTCATCGATCTTGGAATTGACTAATTCAAATATACGTTTTTCAGCCTTCTTACGTGTCTCCCTAAATTCATCTATTGCATACAATTTAATTTTTCCTCCTCGGTGTGAAGATCTTGAAATATATATGAATATCTGTTAGAAAGTTATATTGAACAACGAACATTCAAGAATGTAATAATAGTGACATACGCGTTACCTTTTAGCTTTCAGCAATTTTTCGAGCTCACCACAGGCACTTTCAAAATATTCGAGGTTAATTATAATTTGGACAATTTGTGACATATTAGTGCTTTGTAATTTTCCTCGTAATGCACCATCCACATGATCTATAAGAAGATGATCAAGAGTCTTTCGAAAAAGAAATGACAAGTAGAAATTAAGTCGGAAAGAATCATATAGTATTTCGATGAAATAATAAAAATATAATGAACCTGTTGAACTATATCATCAACATAGCTGTACTTCTTCGAATCTTCCTCCGCAAATTGATAATATTGATTCACAAAATTCTTAATATCCAAACAACAAGATGGATATGCTTGAGAGAATGGAAGTGTTTTCGGAAATCTAGTTATTGTATAAAATAAAATGAATTTTTTTTTATAACGAATAGCGAAAATTAATATTAATTAATATATTTATATAAAAATTTGGTATATACCCTTGACTAATACGATTATCTTCTTTAAACCAACATGCATCAACGACGGCATCATATTCTTCACGAAAAGAGACTTGCATTGGCATATAATCATCATCAATAATTGTCTGAAATATATATGAAAATGTCAGAATAGTAATAACACATGAAAGTTGAACAATTTTTAAAACATTACTTGATGAAAATCAACAGAAAATTTGTGTTTCAACATATCTGAATACTTCTGGAAAATGATCAAAACTAAATCTGTAAAGGTATTAACATTATATCCATAATCCTATCAATAGATAGTATATTAATAATAGTGTGATCAAATCTCTCAGTAAATGTTTATCAAAACATATGAAAAAAATATCTACTTCTAACGTTTGAATGAATGTAAATAAGCTAAACTTGATTTGCTTAAACAATTCAGGGTCGCGACAATCATCTAAACTTTCAGCTACAATTTTAACAACTTTTGCTATTACTGTATTCCATAAACTATCCACTTCCGCCCGTGATCGAAAATTTTGTGTTGACTGCACGATAATCTGCTCAATGACAAAGAACCCCACAACATCTTGAAGGAAAGCCTCAAAACCTTTTTCATTACTATCTCTTAGTGTATAAGACTGTGAAAGAACCAAATTTGCTTGGGCCTATTTTTATGTCATTTTAATTAATTATAATATTAAAAGTTAAATACATAATTTAATAAAAGGTAGTAAAGATCAGATCTAAATTTATTTACCCTTCTATCATCTTCATAATTTGTTTTGAATTCACTAAGCTTCCCAAGTTCTTCATGAATATGTAAGCATTGATACAATGGCTTAAAATCTATCTGTACCTCGTCATTATTTATAATGTTAACTTTTACACGAGTAATATTTTATTCATGTTAGTAAGGCCAAATAAACAAAACGGAAACAAAATGTTAAACGTACATTCGTTTTCTTCATTCATTACAATTTCTATAGGAGAACTGACGGGAACGGAACGTAAATCAGGATTTTGTGAAACTTTCGCCTTCCATCGCTTTTGACGCAAACTCATTTGCTCCATAGCTATTTTACCAACTTGTCGCGTCACTTGCCGAACACTAATACACAGAATTAAACATTAAACATCATGTAAATTGAACCAATATTAACTTAAAACTCCGTATTTACACACCGAAATAGCCATTCTTTCATCTCTTTAGTGACGGCATCTTTGACACTGTTTTGCATGACAGGTATAGATTCATCTATTTGAAGAATTCATAGTAGATATTTGATTAATATATAGAAACATAGGTGTATCAATAATATTAATAAAATTTAACATACGCATATGTTTAGCAAATTCATATTGAATAACTTTTCGTAAATGCACAGTTTGTAATTCCTCTAAAACCTATAATTACCATTATTGAAATAATAAATAAAAACTATTTTGATAGTAAAATATAACTGAATAATAAGATCTTTTTAAAATTATAATCTTACTCTCAAAGCAGAATAATATTTTCTCTCTTCAACTAAATGATTAACTCGATTGGCCATATCAAGGACATGTAAACATAGTTGTAAAGTATCCACTGCTTCATCAATATTTTTCTGAGTTTTACGCGTTTGGATAAGTTCCTTTTTCTATAAATAATTTGAATGGATCAAAAAATGATCTACCTTTTATACTAAAAAATTCCAAAATTATTAATTATAGAACAAACCTTTGCAGCAACTTTTTTTCCAGATTTTTGAACATCATAATTCAGATCAATGATTTTATTTTTCAAATTAACTGTTCCTTGTCTAACTTTTAACAATTGATCTACGGAGTGTACGAATTCCTATATAATATGTTAAAAAAATATTTTTTTTAAAAAAAAAAATCAACCAGTGAGCTAAGCATAAAGTAAATATTTTGCATAGAGGTACCCACACTGCATTTCATTTATGATTTCACACCTGATAATTACTATTACACATCCGTTCGATCTCGCCTTCTTTCTTTCTCACGAATGTAGCTAATTGCTCAAGGAAAGCTTCTTGTCGTTCAGTGTCATAAATGGATTTTATAATCGGTCCGAGTTGTTCAACATTTTCGTTCTCTGAATTCAACTCGGCAGATAGAACAAGTGAATGTAACTGTTGTTGATCATGATCAGACATTTTTTAAATTAGCCCAGAAATAATGCGAAAAGAATAGAAAAATTTACTGGAATATAGAATAACCTTCTCTTGATTGGTCGATTATTTGCATGCGGTACAGGTAACGGCAACGGTAACTGTAACATTTCACAAATATACAGATATGGAAGATAATTCACGTGACAAAAAATTATATAAGTTCGAAGAAGCAAAACAAGAAGGCGGTGGTCTAACCTATCTTGGGGGGGAGATGTCAGGGATGAAAATTTTGTCTACATAAAAACACCTAAGATTAGCCTAAGTTTAGTATAAAGCGGACTTAACCCTAAAGTTAATCCAATAAAATAATAAAGTTATAAGTTGCTTCCAATTTAGAGGTCTCCAAAATGTAGAGAATCCCAAAATAAGAGATACTTTTGGATGCTCTCCAAAACGTAAAGATACTATTCTTCAAAATATTAGATATGATAAATCAAATTTTAATCTTCAGGAGATCCATAACACTTCGTTTTGGTACATAGAAACATTTTCATACTCAATTGATTGTAAATATACAGTATGGTACCTAGCTTTCATTTAGTATCTATAATTAGTAAAAAAAAATGTACCATTGCTTCATTCCGAGCAAAAAATTTTCCATTTTTTGACAATTCTAATTATAAACATATATGTAATTACTATGCCAAAAACGGTTTATTGAAAAAAAAAACAATAGTAATTCAATCCCTTAAAAAATAAGATACAACGTTTTCGTTTGTTTCAAAACTTAAAAGAAACCTTATAAACACGATTTTATTGGTCGTGTTAACATATATGGTCAATTTATAAAAAGGTACGTACTTAGCCAATCACAGAAAGCTATCCTATATGCATGTGCTTACATGCGAAGGAAAACCGATGAATTTTCGCTTTAATAAAAATTAATGTCTTACATGCAATATTTGTAATCTCATAATCACTGAAGATTTCTTGCGCTATCTTGAGTAAACAAAATATAATATATTTTTCTCAAAAACGAACTACCTATCTTGTAGTGATTGAAGAGAATTAATTCGAGATTAGAGTTTAATGATTATATAGTAAACTAAAAATGAATATATCGGTAATTTAATTACGTGGGAGACGACTTTAATATCCTTTCTGAACGGTGATAACACCCCATGCTATGAACATCCAAACTTTTGGTTCGACCTATACATGTTGGCAAAATCCCGACTTACTATAGTTTGGGATTTGTCCATCATCCCAAATCCCAAATCCCAAATTCTA